TATATTTCTAATATATTATTATAGAAATGAGATAATATTGAACATAACAATTTCGCAACTTACGTGTTCCACTTACTATATGTATATGCTTATAGCTAAGTCCTTGCATACTTCCCAGAAGTAGACAAGTTTGGTATACATTGTTTGTGTGTGTGTATAACAAAAAATGCATTTTTAATAAGTTCAGGAAAAGTTGATTTATTTTAAGGGTAAAGCTTAGAGGAGTGGAATATTCTTAGCTATGTTTAGATGCGAATCTTTAAAGAAAGAATTCCTGCTTGTATTTGGAAAGTGCTAATGATCTGTTGATTTCTCCAATACATAAGGAATGTATGTAGACTAAGGAAGGCTGAATGAAATGCTTATTTTCCATAAAGAAGTCATATTGACTGCTAATCAGGAGACCTAAAGATCTGTGACTCCCAATTCTACCATGTGACCTTGGCCAGTTAGTGATAGATTATTTCCCTTATCATTCATGGGTTCATACATGTATACATGTAACATACCTGCTGGTCCCATGTGAGTTCCCCCACAACCCACCAAGTACACTAAAACATTATTTTTGAGTACAACATACATATGGAAATGTACACAGACCATAAGTGTACAGCGTGATGAATTTTCTATAAAGTGAACAGAACCATGTCATTAGCCCCCGATCAAGAAACAGAATCTACCGGAATAAACATTTTTAAGGACATTTTACATATGGCTGAACTGTCTCTCAAACTGTATAAGCCTTAATTTGAATAATCATAATTTTGTGAGGTCACCCCTATTCAAAAACTTACAAGGAGGTTTCATGCTTACCCTAAGAAGATTGTAATCTTTTGCCTGATTTGCAGTGGCCTGGCCCTGGTCCATGTACCTCGTCTTAGTGCTGCATAATACGAACTTCAGATTCAGGGAGCTCTCATTCCAGCCAATCACGTCTGCTACGCTCATTCCTGTTAGCTATCTGTACTCATCATACCCTACTCGCTATCTGAAATCCATACTCTTTCTGTCCAGACGACTTGCTTAGCACCTCTTCCACGAAGCTTTCTTTGTCTAGTTCAGCTCATATTGAGCTCTGCCTTCCCAGAACGTTATTGTCCTTAAAGCTAGTGCTATGGGTTCTAAGAGGTAATTGTTCTGTAATTCAAGTTTGCTATTTCCGATTCCACAGTCTCACTGCAAACTCATGTTTTATTCCCCTTTATTATTTCCAGGGCCAGTACATATATGCTCATTCAATACATGTGACCAGAGAAATGGCATGTGACCCGCAGTTGTGCCAGGTCCTGTCCACAGACCCCTGGGGCAGTGGCTGTGCTGGCTGCTGGAGCTTTGTCCCACAGACACAAATACCTCTCTTGGGTACTGGCTCCAAAGGGTGCTGATTCCCGATCAGGAATTTCATAGAAATGGAACCACACAGTATGCAACCTTTTGGATTACATAGGGGGGTTGCTAAACATCTTCCCAAGTTGCTGTGTGTATCCACCGAGGAGGGAGCCCAATGCGGGGCTCGATCCCAGGACCCTGGGATCATGACCTGAGCCGAAGGCAGTCGCTTAACCGACTGAGCCACCCAGGCGCCCCAAGATTTTCTTTATTTATTTAGAGCGAGAGAGTGAGTGCATGCGTGCAGGGGGAGGGGCAGAGGTAGAGGGAGAGAGAGAATCCCAAGCAGACCCCACACTGAGCGCAGAGCCAGATGCAGGGCTCTATCCCATCACCCCAAGATCATGACTTGAGCCGAAATCAAGAGTCTGATGCTCAACCGATTCAACCACTCAGGCGCCCCTGTGTTTTCCTTTTAAAAAATAATATCCTTTTAATAACATTAAACAAATGCTATGATACCATATCCAAAATCCAGTTCGGTTCCCACTTTACAAACGTTTCAAGACTTTAACTGAGGAATCCAGATATCTCTAGCAGAAATACTATAATTAGCCATAATAAGTGAAATTAATACATGGTTTACTTAGGTTCCCATGGTTTACTTAGGTTCCTGTGTTGCCACAGTGCTCCATGAAGATAAGGTTAAACATTTCTGATGTGTCCATATTGAGACACACAATTCTAGAAAAAAAAAACCAAAACAAAACTTTCCCAATGTCCCTTTCTATTAAGTGAGAGAAAATAGTAACAAGGAGGCTCGGATTCATTCAAGTAAGGAATCAGAAATGGTGGGAGCAGGGATGCCTGGGTGGCTCAGTCGGTTAGGCGACCGACTCTTGATTTCAGCTCAGGTCATGACCTCAGGGTCCTGGGATCAAGCCCCATATCAGGCTCCCTGCTCAGTGGGGAGTCTGCTTGTCTCCTTCTGCCCCCCACCCCCCGTTCGCATGATCTCTCTCTCTTAAATAAATAAATCTTAAAAAAAAAAAAAAAAGAAAGAAATGGTGGGAGCAGAGAAGAAACAGGAACACCCACTGTGGCAAACACCTATACGGCCGAAATCAGTATATTTGGTAGTGAGAAAGTTTGTAAGCATATTCTGAAATTCTAAGGATTAGATGGTGTTAATTTGATCACAGAGACAAAGAGAAAATTAAGTCTCTTAGAGGTTTAAGTCAGCCTCTTGAAAACTGTATTTCACCAGGCTTTAGATTTTTTTAAACAGTAGAAAATTGGAGTTGGGGGTCCTTTATTTTTATTTCTTACACATTGTGGGCAACTTGCACAGTGCTGAGTCTCTGCTGACTGATGAGGCACCACGCCGCCTTCCAGCTGGAGGTGGGACCACCCCTGGGCCCACGGTGTTTCGGAAGCTCAGTGCCCTTCCCACACCCGGCTCACTCCTCCAGGGCTCCCTCCTCACAAATTGCGTGCTCTCTCCCCTGTGCCCACAGCACTCTGCACACATTCTTTTCTGCAGCATTCGTCACTGTACTTTATTCGATTATGTGCGATCTGTAAATGATGTGTTTCACAAGTGTAGAAGCTTGTCATTTTGCCTTTGGATCCTCAGTATCTGGCATATTAATAATCACTCATGAAATGCCCGTAGATCCGTGTTTGACTGTTTCAGGGCTCACTAACTCATAAGGCAGCCCATTCCGTATAGTAGACAGCTTGGAGCAGAGAATTTTCCTATTGTGTCCTCATTACTTCTCTTCATCTGTCTTTGTGGAACTGCCAAGAATAAGTCACCATGTTCCGTGTGGTCATCCTTCACTATGTGAAGACATCTACCGTGTCTTCGCGAGTCTTCTGCTCCTCTCAGTGGTGTTCATTTCCCTGTTCCTTACTCATTCCCGCATGACTTCCTGATACCTCACCTTTGTGGATCCACTACTTTTTTTAAAGACTTTTTTTAAAAAAAATTAATTAATTAATTAATTTGACAGAGACACAGAGAGAGAGGGAACATGAGCAGGGGGAATGGGAGAGGGAGAAGCAGGGAGCCCGATGCGGGGCTCGATCCCAGGATCCTGGGATCATGACCTGAGCCAAAGGCAGACGCTTAACGACTGAGCCATCCAGGTGCACCTGTGGATCCACTTCTTGAATGAATTTACATTGTCAGCTTTTCTTTGTTCAAACCAAAGACACAAGTTATTTATCTTGTATAATATCACCACTTTTAAGTACTTGCGTGGTGTCAGCTACAATATCTTCGCTGAACTTAGTTCTATTGTTTTGTCTAAAAACCAAAGAGTGTTCTTTGAAAATATACTTTCCTGTCCATTATGGCATTTAGCTTTTTGTTGACATAAAGAACCGCATAAGAATAAACATTCAGAATTTTACTCTTAATTAAAATATGCTCAATTTTGACACAGATGTGCAGGCTTAAGTGAACTGTGGAGACCTTTGCAGTTTATAGGCAAATTATCTACTTACATCAGGGGTCAGACTTTTAGCAATGACAGGCCCAACCATTCCTGGAATAGTGGCAAATGTATTTGTGATGCCCAGGAGGATACCAGCATACCTGCGGAAACATTTTCATAGAGGTTTATTATTATGTTACACATTTAAGTGGCTTTTTTTTAAAAAAAGATTTTATTTGTTTATTTGCTAGAGAGAGAGAGAGAGTGACAGTACAAGCAGGGGGAGTGGCAGGCAGAGGGAGAAGCAGCCTCCCCGCCGAGCAAGGAGCCCGATGTGAGACTTGATCCCAGGACCCTGGGATCATGACCTGAGCTGAAGGCAGACGCTTAACCGACTGAGCCACCCAGGTGTCCCTAAGTGGCTTCTTTCAACAGATAGCTGTATTACTTCCAGAACACTCTGTATTCTTGTGAAGTTTCATGTCTAAATGAAATGTCTTACTAAGTTGGACTGAATATATTTAACTGGTGAAAAACCTGCATTTCAATAGTTAATAAGCATTCTAATATTACACAGGGGAACGCAGTCACTGAAATGAAAATCCTTTTTTTTTTTTAAAGAATCAGCTTTTTAAAAGATTTTATGTATTTATTATTATTTATTTGACAGAGAGAGAGAGAGAGACAGCGAGAGAGGGAACACAAGCAGGGGGAGTGGGAGAGGGAGAAGCAGGCTTCCCGCTGAGCAGGGAGCCTGATGTGGGGTTCGATCCCAGGACCCTGGGATCATGACCCAAGCCGAAGGCCGATGCTTAACGACTGAGCCACCCAGGCGCCCCAAATGAAAATCTTTCTTATAGTGATTTAGAAAAGTGTTGAGACAGTCGTTGGGCGTCTGCCTTTGGCTCAGGTCATGATCCCGGGGTCCTGGGATCGAGCCCCGCGTCGGGCTCCCCGCTCAGCGGGAAGCCTGCTTCTCCCTCTCTCACTCCCCCTGCTTGTGTTCCCTCTCTCGCTGTGTCTCTCTCTGTC